CACCATCTGTGTTTGCAACAATCCCCACCAGTGACTACTTTTCTAATCCAACTATTTTTCCTTTTTCCTTTCCATTACTTTGCACCCTGACCTCTTTCCATTACACACATATACACACATAACTGCCTCTCCCTCCACTCTATTAGAATATAAGCAAAATGTGTGTTCTACAGGGCAAGAGCCTTTGTTTTATACATGAAGAGACTAACCAGTAAGAGATACATAATAGATGCTCAAATCACATTTGCTTAATGAATAACTGTTTAGTCTCTTAGCAAATTATAAAGAGAAAAGTCATATGATTGGACTTGTTCTAGTAAGAGTTCCTTTCTTTTAAGAAGTGTGTGCCAGGGTAAATGCCTAATAAACATTTGTTGAATGAGTTTCTAAATGGCACTGTCATTGTCAATGAAAGAAAAAAACCTTCAGCACAAAACAGTAATTTATAATTCATAATTTGACAATATATAATTTATAATTGATAATATAATTCATAATTTGATAAATTATGATAATTCATAATTTATCCATGTATTAATTCATCTACTCACCATAAATCTGGGTGACTATGTTATGCATAGGTATTAAGATAGAAGTAATAAGGTTAGTCTTTATTTCTACATGAGGCAAAGAGACAAGAAGCTATATAAATACACTTCAGCTTGCTAATAGTGTTTACAAATGGAAGCCCTAGGTACAACAGAATCACAAAACAAGGTCCATTGAGAAACAGGCACCATCAGACAGCTGTGGCCTTTGAGCTGAGTTTCTAAGGAGTTAGCTCAGGAAGGAGGTTAGCGGGAGGTGTGGAAGAAGGGGAAAGAGTGTACTAAGCAAAGGCCAGGGCTTGTCTGCAAGCACCGACACTATTTGGAGCATGAACCACAGGCATCTCAGTGTGGTTGGAGTCCTGGCATTCAAGGGCTACATGGAGGTGGGGAAGTCTCTCACCAATATTGTGCAATGTGATTTAATTTTGTAGTTAAGGAACAGTCATTAAAGTTATATACTCAGTTTTGCATTTGAGAAATACCTTGTAGCACTCTGCATCGTAAATGATATCTTGAGAGAGACTATATAAATACACATGAAATTTTAATTCAGGATTAGGAATATTAAGAGAAAGAGCTCCAAGAATTGTAATTTTTGTTTCAAAGTATCCTGACAATTATTACCATCAATATCATTACCATCATTACAGCTTTTCAGAGGACCCAAAGAATAGAACAATAAGGAAAAGAGACTCAAAGAAATTATTAAACACATCCTAATGCAACTCTACATCTAAATGAAGTGAAATAGAGGGTAAATAAACACTTAAGATACAATAAACTACTCTCAGTGTCACTCTGCTTGCCCACTAGGAAGCTCCAAGCAATAGTACAAGGGAGCACTCACAATGCCAAAAGAAATATCCAATCCATCCATCATCTCCTGGTCTCCCTCCCTCCCCAACATCTCATATTTTTCTTTCCAAAAGATACCAACACTGAATAGCTACTTGCCACTCAGAGTTCCAGTAATCCTCCTGGCAGGCAACAATAAAATCTTTCTTTGTTCTTAAAGCAAGGGGGGAAGATTCCTTGAATCACAGGACTGATTACCTCAGTCATTTTGCTTTGGTAGGACATAAAAGATCTTGCTCAATTGTCTTCTTTCACAACTGCCTTACTCTCTAAACCTTAGAAGTTAGTCTGGTTTGGAGGACCACTGTAGGCAACTGGAAAAGAACCAGAATGATTCCTGGCATTGCTTGCTATAGAACTAAACTTTCACAAGTAAGAAGAAGCAATAGGTTCTCTGTTTTCTAGTTTCAGTCATGCTGCCATAGAACTTGTTCAGGAGTGATCTCCACATTTCCAATTTATTTTAAAATTCAAAAGTGAAAACTATAAACCATGCAGAGATCCCACATACAAGTACGTGGTACTTCTCTTTCAGCATAGCTCTTGAAATTTGCAAAGGTGATACAAAATCAAAGCACTTTATATAAATGCCAGCAATACCTTTGTGTGTATGTTCTTCAGTAAGTGCAAAATTCAACTTATCTAAGAAAAATGATGACAGGAAAATAAAATCTGAAATGGGCAGAAAGTTCAGTATGACTCCAGGCCCACAGAAAAAGGTGCACAAGGAAGATCTTTTATGTATGTATGTGTGCGCTTCGGTGCATCTGGGTGTATGTGCATCAGACCCCAGTATTTGACGCTACTTACCAAACTAGCTATATGCAGAACTACAAGTCACTTTTGGGTGATTTTTTAAAATAGTCATTGAACTTTTAAAACATGGTATTAATCTTCTGGAACTAAGAGTAGCTTTCAATTTGTTTCAAAAAGTCAAGGACATGGCTATCTGAAACGATGTCTAAGCACCAATTCTTGAATGCATTCAAAGGGAAGTTTTTTGTTTTTTGTTTTTTGTTTTTCTGAGTTCTTTTACTCCATAGTGAAATGACAGTCTATGAAATAAAGTTTCCAAAGGGTTCCCTGACTTTTCACCAATGGGGAAGGCTCAGTACAGAAAGAAGTTAAACTTGTTATTATTTAGGTAATAAGTTTGAGATCATTCTTTAAATCATGCTACTTTTTCTTCTAAAAAAATGACACAATTTTAATATACAGACGGGTTTTTAGAGGAGAAAGGGAAAGGCTTGACCTGGTTTTTCCTGAAGAACAATACAACTAAAAACAACCAAATCAATTTTAAACTGTGAAAGTAAAATATACCAAAGACATACATGTATGTATACATTTAACAAAAGTTTGTGTGTATTTAAAGGAAATAATAAGCATGCTGATTTTTGTGGTTTGGCCATTTCCTTGCTTCAGTTAAAAATATGCAAAACAGTGATTTTCTCCCATATACCTTTTTACTTATAAAGAAAACATTTCTCTCCATACAGTCCTCTGATAGTATGTAATAAATAATAAACATAGTTTGAATCAAAACAGAAGCAGCAACACTAACAAAATTAATAAAATGTTTGGTGGAAAACAGGTTTTATCCCAAATTTTAAAAAACACTATTTATCAGGAAAAACAAAAAAAGATCTAGTTCCAAAGGGAAAAAATAGGAAGTAATAGGGGCTTGAAAAAAATGTACTTAGTTTCCTAGTCTGCTAAATAGGAAAAGAATATTCACAGCACTTGTCTGTGTTGAGGATTAAATGAACTCACATTGGAAAGAGGATCTAGGTCTATACTGAGAGCTCTGTACTAATACTAATTTTTATTATTAGCAAAAACTCTTATTAAGCCATCTCTCACTTTCCGCCTTGGAAGGCTGTCTTGAAGGAATCCAGTCTTCTGAAGATATGTTGGTTGTCAGGTGATGACAGCCTTATTTCACAGAGGAAGCACTGAAGAAATGCTTAAGATTTCTAAAATCCAGAAGCAAGATGTAGTCATCAGAGAAGGAACAGGATTTCTGATTTGCCATGGGAGAGCAACACCTAAAAAGAGGAAGAAGTCTTTCTTGTTCTCCATTTTCCAGAGAGCTGGACTTGATCAAGCACTGGAAGTTATGGAGGGAGAGAAATGTCTGCTCAGTGTAAAAGACTTTCAAATGTCAAAAACACTTTAGAAAAGGACAGGCTGCCTTGAAGGGCAGACAGTGTGCTGTTACTGGGTGTCAGAGTAGAAGTTTCATCAATCAAAGACGATAAAGAAAAGATTCCTTAGCAAATCCAAGTGACAATGACAGTTGACAATTCAACAGAAACTGTTCAACACTGTTAAGTGAATTACATATATTCATGCATTTAATCTTTACTCAGCCACCTGGCTCTGTAGCCTTGGGTTCTGAACCACTATTATGCACTGCCTACACCCAACTTTGGATTCCTGAGCAATTAATTGCTCTGTGTCTCTACTTCTTCATTGCCAAAATGATAAAAATTAGATGATTGTGATAGAAATTAAATGCATTAATACATTTGTTTAGCACCTAGAATGATGCCTGACACAAAGCAAGTACTTTATTATTTTCCATAGAGAGATTATTTCAACTTCGAAGAAAAATTTTTACTTGGATGGCAAAGAATTGTGTCTTGGCTGTTAACAGTGTCACACAAACTTGATCAAATAACTGGAAGTCAAATCTTGACTATGAGGCTGTATCTCTAGCCTCTCAGTCATGCAAAATAATGGAAAAACTGATCCAGTGACATCAAATTCTCTGCATACTCTGGCATGGCTGATCATAAGGTAAGACTTTGGAAAAAGTGGTGTAGACCTCCATCCTTTACTGACTTCTCTAACCACTCTCAATGGCTTGGTCAATCATTCAGATTACTTTCAGCAGACCCCTTAATGGCCTTATGCAGGGGACTTTAGTTCCCACTTAACTAATTCTCAAATCTAGTCAGTTCAATTCACTTCCTTTGAACCCATTATCCAAGTGCAACGTGGCTCAATAAACTCTGACTTACCCTTAAATTACTCTTTTATGACTGGATTCTGAGAGCAACATTAAACCTTTATTTCACTCAAGCTTCCAAATCCACTGCTATCCTCACTCACAAATATTCTAGAACCTCAGTAATTTAAGACATAAAAGCAATGAGATAAATGTTTGTTCTCCTTTCCATCTATCTTCCTCTGCATCCCTGAACTCCAATAGCAAATCAATTGAACACTGACATCTTTATCCAGCCTCTTCATTCTCCTGGCTTTAGGGTGGAAATTCCTGCTACCCAGGAATTGCAAGATACATCGTCTTCCTCAGCTCACTGTCTAGCAACTTTTCTACTAATACATAAACATACCCATAAGGAAAAAATGCTATTTTATCTCTATCCTAAGTTTTAACTCTGAACCCACTGCATTGCCAAGTATCTTGAGTAGTCTCTTACTGTAGGTATATACTGTTTGTGGGCTGAACTAAAATAAATGTGAGTTACTGGAAAGCAACCTGATACAGGCTACTCTTGATTACAACCTTTTAAGTACACTTTAAAAGTTCTGGTATCCAGCAAACTTGGATATAGTAATTGCTAATTATTTCTTCCATTTACACTATGTTTTTATTGGACATAAGAATGAAAAATATACCACAGAAGTTTATTATCTATGACAAACTGTACTTTAAATGTTAGACTTTTTGCACAAAGTTTATAGATTAGCAATATTAATACCATAAAAATGGTTTGTGAAGGACAATTTTTACATGAGTTGAAGGGTGATTAAAATAACAAACAATACTACGATAACGTAAATTATATGAATTCTTAAAGCCTTAACTAATTTAAAACTTACTATCTATACAAAATAATAAGTTTACAGAAATAAAGGTTTCCATGTTTTCAAGGAAAAGGTCTCATAAAAAGGAGAGAAGAGGCTGTTTTTAAGAAGCAAGAAAGCCAGTGAAGGTGGAGCATAGAAAGCAAGGAAGGAAGGGACAGATCCCTCACAGTCTCATAGACCAGCATTAATACTTTATAGTATATGCATAAGAAAGACAGGAAGCAAATAAAAAGCTTTAAGCAGGGAAAGGGACAGATCCCATATGGAATTTTAAGAGGCTAACTCTAGTTGCTTTAGAGAGAATGAATAAGTAGCTGACCAAAGTGAGTCTGTCAGTCAAATGTGGAGTTAGAAGGCTAAAGAGGAAATGATGATAGCCCGAATCTGGGTTGGCAGTAGAAATGAAAACAAGGTGGAAGATTCTAGAAGATGAAATAATTAAGATTTAGTGTGGGATTAGATATGGCAAAAGAGATGTCAATGACATGTTGGTTTGCTGTATTTATATACATATATACAAGGAAATGCAGAACACATCTTGCACAATACATACCAAATTGTTAACAGAAGTTACTTAAGAGAAAGCATGGTGTTTTACAATAAAAGGTAGATTTTTTAAGCATGTATATAGATGTCTACATTGTTAAATATTTTAGTCATTAGGTATACATTATTTTCATATTTAAATTCACACACAGTAAAAAAAAAGCATTTGAAAGGTAGGAAAGTCATTTTAGGGAGAATAATCTATCAAAAAGCATAGATACATGGCATATTTAAAGATTATGAAGTACATGACCTATTCAAAAAATACCAAGTAGTCCAGTGTTTGTAAAGTCAGAATGGGAATTCAGATGGAGATGAGAGGCTTCACACCATTCTAGAATATGGTCATATCCCGGAAGTCTTTATGGGCGAGGCAAAAAAAAAGCAAAACAACAACAACAACATAAAAAACACCAAATCTGTTGGAAATGGGGAAACAGGCAAGTGGAAAAAAAATCAAGTTTATATTTTAGAAAGATCACTCCAGAGCCAGTGTGAAGATTGGAACAAAAGAGAGGTAGAAAACTGGGAGGAAGATCATTTAGACAAGAATTCAAACTAAAACAACACCAGAAATAGATTTGAGATTCATTTTACAAGTAGTTGACAGGACTTGGTGGTTAAGCTAGATGTTACACATACAAAACAATGTGAGTCAAATATGCATGAATGGTTTCTAGCTGAAGAAATAAGACAGTGATGACATCAATTCAGCTATTACAAGAACAGGTTAAATGTGAAGACAGTAAAAAGTTTGCTTTGGAGGAGACTGAAGTATTCTGGTTCAAGCAGGTCAAGGTACCCAACAGGAAACTGGATATATAGATCTGAACTGAGAAATGCTGTCAGTACTGAAGCACATGAACACTACCACCCAAAATAGAAAATGTTAAATGTAAGGACAAAACCTTACCCTTGATGTCACTAAACTTGAGGAAACTGTAAGAGTTGACCAGTTCCATTTATTCTCATAGTTGTAAAAATTCCACCTAACTGTGAAAGTCTCTGTAGGCAATAACTAAGTCAGTTGGAGTTTTGATCTTGCTTTTTTCTTTTTTTACTCCCTCCCTCTTTGTTCTCCCCCCCCCACTTAGTTAAGGAATATAGATGAGGTATAACAAAGTATAATATAAAAACCACTTGCTATTCTTATTATTTTGTCTTACTTGTAAGACAAAGGGAAAAGCATTAAACAATTCTACCTTTAACAAAACGTAAGTAAAATAATGATTTACCTATGTGACTCTCCACTGATTTTCTCTTGCAAATCATCAGTCCTTCATTAACCAACATCCCCAAGGCAATCAACTCCAGCTGTAGCTTTAACCACAGAAGTTAAACAACTCACAGACCTTTTATAGCTCACTGTCAGAAACTCCAGTCACACAGTACCTTTGTCTAACTGATGGTGTCCTAGTTTGGTGGGAGGTGGAAAGACCTGTTGGCAAGGAAACAGCTGCTTCCTTCCTGTGCAAGGGAAAGCCAGGCAGGTGACAGATGGGCAGAGCAGAAAACCAGCCAAAAATTGCCCTGGCTTCTCATTGGCAATAATTTTCAGAACTGAGGCACGACTGGGTATTTTAAAGTAATCAATGATTGAAAAGAGTATTTTCTGCCTGAGTGCTTTGCTTAAGTTCAACAGGGCTTCCCACACATCTACATTTGAAAAACATTTAAATCTGAAGTGGTACAAACAGCCTTGCCTTAGTCTATACACAGCTAAGACTGCAAGGCACTGTCCCATTGCACTTTAGGATCATACCTAAGAGAATGCACTTTCCGGTTAAAAATACTTTTAAAAAGGAAATTTTCACTTTTTGTAGTTATATTTGTATGACAGTAGAATTATTAAAGTTTCGTTAGAAAACATTCTTCTTAAATATGTTTACTTCTATACACTGAGTTTAAAAGTTTTGTTGCAAACTTTGATAATTTGTTTTTATCATTTCCCCTCCCATCCACTTCTGCTCCCAGAAAATTAAAAATCCAAGGATTCCTGGGTAAACAGACAACAACTGGATTGATATAACATATTTTTTTAAAAGCTGGAAGTAGGTAAGTTATTTTTCTTAAATGGAAATTAGCAGTTGCTGAAAATAACATTAAAAATTAGTGTGGCCATGAAATATGAAATTTTAAAACATCAGTTTACTATACTGATTAATTCAACATTTATATTTTCATCAGAACTTAATAATCCCATAAATAAATAGAGCTCTCAATTATTTAAAAAATCAAGGGATAACATATGTATTTAGACATATTAGCAGCGTAAAATGTATGCTTCAACACACTTATTGGGAAGAAGTCTGAAAATATTACTACACTGAATTCAAGGGCATCTGCAGGAACCTGACATAAAAGTTCTCAAGAGTAACATTTCAGAAAATTCCAAAAAAAAAGGACAGGGGTCAAATAGGAAATAGTCTCAAATTAATCGACAAAGTTCAGTGCTTGCTCCAACTTGATTTTTCTATCTCTCCATTGCAAAAAAAAAAAAAAAAAAATAGTTTCAGGGTGGGTGAATCACTTAGATGAAAGTTCATCTACTGGAATAAAGGGAGAGGCTGCTTGGGTAGGTGACACAGGAGAGTCGGTGGTGGTGCTGACTTTCGCTGGTGAGTTACAAGAAGATCCTGCCCTGCTGCTGTTTCCATCAAGGGTATCCGAAGACACACACACGCCGGGGTCTGACAGCTGTGCAACGTCAGAAGAAAGCATGTTGGTGATGCCCTGGAAAAATCTCTTTGGCTGATACTCAGTTTCCATTTCACATTTTCTTTTCAATGGTCCAAGAACACTTGGTCTAATGCAGTTGATGGGGCTCTGGCTTCGCCGGGTGGTAAATCGGGTAGTTGGGCTGGGAATAGGGCTTGGAGGTAATCCATTGCTACTCACAAAACTTTGCAAGGATGGTGAAAAACACTGCTTTCCAATTCCCCGGGTGGGAGACGGTGCTGGTGATACTGGAATGAAATCGATGCGCTTTGGGGAGGCGGATTTCTCCACATCGTTGTCACTTAGACTGAAACTTTCCTCCCAGGAGTGGCTTATCTGCATTGCGGTCTGCACCTCGCGCTCGTGGACCGTCTCTCGGTTGATCAAGTCCATGCCCTCCTCCTGTTTGATCTGGTGCAAGCGGCTGCTGTGCATGCGGACGGGGGAGGCAGGTAGCAGCAGGCCGTGGCGGCTTGGGAACGTTGTGCTGTTCCTCCTAGCGCTCGGCGCCTCGGCCTGGAACACCGGCGAAGTGTCACTGAGGCCGTGGATCAGGGGGGCGCTGTTAGACCTCCTGAGGCCCCCGCCACCACCACTGCTGCCGCTCTCCGCCGGGCTCCCGCCCGTACCCGGAGGCAGCTCCAAATCCAGCTCCATCTTCTCCTGAGCCATGTCGGGGACAGGGAGACGGGGGCGGTGCTCAGTCAGGGCCCTAGGACTCCCATTCCCCGCAGCCCAGGGCCTCCACTGCTGCCGCTACCTCCCAGAATCTGTCAGCGAGCTCGCCTGTCTGCGCCTGCGTAGACCTTCACGCAGGCGCCGTAAGGACATTTGTGTTCCAGGCGCCTGCTTAATGCGTAACAGCGGCGCCGCAGCCGTAGGGGGAGGGGCGATTAGTGGTTGGGCGGCCCGGCTGAGTTTCCTTTCTGCAAATAGCTTCCGAGCCCAAGCTCGCTTAACGCGCATCGATAAGGTTATCGTGTTCGGGAGTGTATATTTAAACAAATGTAAGCTCAGAAAGAGAGGTCATTGATGATGTGGGGCTGCGTGACGTGGAGTGGAACTTGGCCTAATCGGAGGGCTTCCTTGAGAAAGGCACAGCTCCTGAAACCAGACCAACTAGGCACCCTGAACGCTTTGTAGAACTTCGCGGGAAACGGGAAGTTAGGGCAACAGTGCTAGGTGGAAGGCGGGAACCCAGAGGGGAGGAGGAGTGCAGCCCGCTGAGGAGGAGGCCTAGCGTGAGGAGAGATGGTGGGGAGCAGAGAGTGGCCTTTCTTGAGAACAATGAAATCTCAAGTTTTCAAGCTTGAGTAAAGGAGCGATTAAAAGGCGTTGGCTGCAGTCTGGAGAATAGATTGTTGGGAGAGAATGATGATTTACACCAAGATAGTAATATGGGAGACGAAATAGAACAGTAAATTGTGGGTTCTACGTGGTCGGGTGGGGAAAAGACACTTGTGATTGTATTACTATTTTACTTACAGTCCTATTTGTGACACAAGCATATCTGCTTAATAATGGCCGGTATGAGGGATTAAATGACATGAAAACCAATAGGTTCTCCCTTAAAAATAAGACGCCTGTACTAGTGTAAAATTCTGATCCTTCAATAAAGGTCGGTCTTCACATGTGCAAAATTTTTTTTTCTTTCCTGCATACTATGTGGCAGGCACTGTGCTAAGAAATGGGCCCTGTTATGAGGGCATTTAATTTCTACGGGGAGTGATTAATAAGCAGTTTTCTGATGGTCGTTAGAAACCTATGGCAACAGTACAGATAAGAGAATATGGGGTTAGGGTTGTAGTAGTGGTGGATAGTAGATGGATTCAAGATATATTCTGGAAGTGCAACTAATAATATTTGAAGATGGATTAAATATAGATGGTGAAGAAAAGGTAATTTAAAGAGTACTCAGATTTTAACTCAGACTGGGTAGATGGTAGTAACGTACTGAGGAAAAGAAAGGAACACTTTTAAAGGTGTAAAATTAAGAGTTCTGTTTTAGTACGGTTGAGTTGTAGGTGGCTGTTAGATATCTGTGTGGCTGTGTAAACTAAAAGTTAGTGATGTTTGCTTCAGGGGCTACCTTTTCTGAAGCTGAAGGAATTAAAGTCCTAAAAGATAAATGACATATTCAACTTTACACCGTCTGGTTAATAGTATGAACCAGTTAGAATCCAAGTCTCGGGTTTTCTAGTCTTTTCACTATCTCTTTGACGGCTATGTATTTGATGGCTAACAGATTGGAGACCAAAATGAGGAGTCACAGAAGGAAGTAAGATTCATAAGTCAGCACAGCAACAGCAGAAACTTCATGTGCAAAAGATGAAGTCATAAATGACTGAAGTTCAACGTCAGTGGCTGAAGGAATGATACATTATTAAGTAAAAAGTGCAGAAGGGAGGAAGAGTATCCAAAAACTCAGGTAAATGATAACAGCATTGAATACAAAACTTATACTAGCTACACCAAGTTATTATTTACAGATAATTGGATTATTACTAATGTGGCTCAAATGTGCCAGTTGTCATTCATATACATTTTGGATGACACAATTATTACTGTAACTAGTGGTGATAAGTCCATCCATGAACTAAAACATCTATGTGCCATTTAGTTTCTGCCTAAACAAAGATCTTAGCAGGTTTCTCCACTTATATCCTTCTCCCTACAGCCAGTTCTCTACCCAGTATTCAAGATAATCCTTTTTTAAAAAATGTGAATTATCGCTTCTCTATTCAAAATCCTTTAGTAGATTCTCATGTCAAGAAAAGCAAGAGGTCATAGCAGTGGCCCACAGACACTCCTCTGATCCAGGTCCCGCCAGCTATTTTCTTTCTCCAACCTTCCTGCCATCTACAGAGCACTCTGTACTGCCTTCAGCCCCCCAGGCACTGCCCCATGTGCACTGCTCTTCACACAGAGGATGTCCACACTACTCAAGCCCTTGTAGTCCCTGCACAAATAGCATGCGGAGGCACTCTCTGACTTCCCTTATTAAAAAGCACCAACAGTACCAATACTGAGCCTACCTTCCCATGCTTCTTATGCTGCATTTATTTTCCTCCAGAGAACCACATGATTTATCTCTATTTCTCTCTTAATCTCACCTCTATATTTATGTTTCTTGCTCTTTACGCTCTGAGGAGGCAAGCTCCATTGAGCTTAGTTTTGGGCTATATGAACAGTTTGTAGAACAAGACTTCCTATGGAGTATTCAGTATTAATTGAATCATTGTGGGAGAGAATGATAAAGAACACATGAACTAACGTACCTTTGTTTAAAAGGAAAGAGAACTGTTACTGGAAAATCCAGCATAACAGGCTATTTTAGATTAATTACAGGAACTTCTTACTTTGGCAATGCTTTCTTTTTGTTATGTCAGGAATATTATTTTAGTCACACTGCCCTACAGCCCATGCAGGGAGGTTATTTGAAAGAATCACTGTGTAAACTATGAAACTGAAGGGCCAAGTGTCCATTCTTTTTTAACCATATGCCGACACACTTCTGATAGAATTAAAATGCTTATTTCTGGGGATTCTAAGCAGTGTTTAATATACTGAGTTACTGCTTTCTCTCAAAGGAATCAAGGACAATTTTTTTAAAATGGCAGCCATAAAATACAATTCAAACTGTTGTAAATGAATTGTGCCAGAGGCAGGATCCAAGGGGCAATGAATTCAATTTTACTCCATGAATTAAATATTACACTTAGTTGAGATTCATGCTTATTCTTACACCCAGAAAACCAGACATCAATTCAAGAGTTAAACTTTGTTATGATTAATTTTAGATATTTAAACTACCATAATAGATAGTTTCTTTGTAATTCCTATGGCAGTTTTTCTTATTATCTACCTCATTTTGCTCTTTATTTATACTTTGTGTTTCTCATATAAGTGAAACCATATGACATTTAAGCTTGTGTGTCTGATTTGTTTCACAATATTATGGTATAAAGTTGCATTCATTTTCCTGCAAATGACTTAAATTTATTCTTTAAGGCAAAGTAGTACTCTATGGTGTATAAATAACACCTTTTATCTATTTGTTTATTGATGGACATGTAGGCCACTTCCAAGATGTAGCTATTATGAATTGTACCGCTATAAACATGATTTTCCATGCACCACTGAAATATGATGTCTTTAACCCTTTTACGAAGATATCTAGAAGGGGAACAGCCTGGCCAATGGAATCTCTATTTTTAGTCTTTTGAGGAATCTCCATACTGATTCCCATAATTGCTGTACTAGTTCACATTCCCACCAATAATGTAGAAGACTTCCATTTTCCCCACAGCCTTGCCGGCATTTGTTCTTATTGGATTTCTTAATGATAGCCATTCTTTTTTTTTGGTACCAGGGATGGAACTCACTACCTCAGGCTTGCAAGGCAGGCACTTATGCCGCTGAGCTAAATCTCTGGCCCAGGATAGCCATTCTTCTGAAATAAGTTGAACTCTCAGTGTTGTTTTGATTTGCAGTTCTCTAATGGCCATAGATATTAAACACTTTTTCATGTATGTATTGGCCATTTGCACTTCTGAGAAGCTTCTAGTCATTTCAGTGGTCCACTTTTGATTGGGTCTTTTATTTTTTGGGGGGAGTTCTAATTTTTTTTTAGTTCTTAGTATATTCTAGATATCAGTCCACTGTCCATAGACTGTAGCTGGCAAAATTTTTTCTGTAAGCTGTCCCTTTGCTGTATAGAAGCTTTTCGACTTGATAAAATCTCCTATGGGCAATTTTTAAACTATTAAACCTTCAGGCATTACAACAAGCATTTCCATTTCTGAATCCATACTGAGTAAATATGAAATACACACATGGATGTTTGTGAGTGTAATCTGAAATGAGTAGCAGATAACACAACAACTTGCATTAACTAGTATCACTAACGTAAAGTGAAAATATTGTAGAAGAAAACCATACTGTGAAAGCACAGGAATGTAAGAAAGTTAACTGCTACAGCCACTTAGGAAAAACATTTGGCAGTTTTCTTTCTTTCCATCAGTATGGAAAGAAAATACATGCTTATCCTTTAAGTGCTTGCTTGTACTAAAAGATATATACATGAATGTTCCTTGGATTGCTATTTATATCAGCCCTAAACTGAAAACAATTCAAATGTTCATCAACAATTGAGTAAATTGTATGATAAAATACTTTATACAACAATATGGATGAGTTATGATACAATACTGAATGAAAGAAATCAAACACAACAGTCTATATGGTTCCATTTTATGAGGAATAGTAAAAACGAGTCTATGGAAGTAGAAGTGAGGAACAGTGGTTATGCTAAGTACTGACTAGGCAGGATGGAAGAAAATATTCTGTATCCTGATCTGTGTGCTGATTATACAGGTGTTCACGTGTATTAACATTCATCAATTGCATATATTATACATAAAAATTGAACATGTATCAGTATCTATAGCATTAGAGCTTAGAATGTTATCAGTGAAAAACAGCATGGGAACTTGGAATGTAAATAGAGAAGGGCAAAACAGGATAAAATGTACTTCAATTGGAAAGAAGAGAACTTTGTGCAAATATTAACCAGGAGTCCAGACTGGAATGTTGAGCTTCCAGATCTCTCTGACACACTTTAGTATCAGTGGAAGAGTAGGGTTCTGTCCTTGACAGGAGAAAGGAGACAGAAACACATCCACCATTTCCATTTCCCAGGGCCCTAAGGATCAGCATCAGCAGCGTCTAGTAAGGCGGGGAAGACTTGTCTGAGGCAAGTTAGAGATAACCAGAAGAAAAACTAAGAGGCCTCACCTCTTACCCCTACTGTGTCTCAAAGCTAGTTACTTCTAAGAGGCCATGTTGGAGGAAATAAGGTCCATCTTTTTGTTTTTTAGTTTCTCAACTTCAAACTTTGTGTATTCTGTGCAGCTAGAGTGAACCTGGTCCTTTTTCTGTGATGTCTTCACAGCACAGTTCATGATATGGAAGAGAATTAAACTAGCATCAAAAGATTCAGTAGGAAGCTGTTAGCACAAATGGGAAGGAGAATTCTAGCCACAAGGAACTTACTTTGTTACCATAATGAAAGGGAATCAGATGATTTCAGACACCTGTCATCCACTCTACATTATTGAAGGCCCTCTAAGTGTAGACTCTCTGTGGTATCTACCTTCATGTCACTGAATTTTATCCTTAAATATTAGGCCAGTGGCAAGAACTAGAAAACCAAGACAGAAGTTTACCAAGGAACTATTAATCCGTTTCAATTTTCACTTTTAATAGCACTTGAAAGCCACTGCCCTGGAGCCCCATTATTCACACAGAGGAAGAGGGTAGAAATGGAAGCTTACAGCGTAGGCTTTCAGCAAAGTTCACGCAAAAGTAAATGTGAATTTAATTACCTTGTTCAGTTTTTTCAGGAGAGCAATCAGGGAAGACATTAAAATATTTAAACAGCCAACTATCTAATTATCAGTTGCTATTCCCTTAATTCTTTGAGTAGTATAATAAATAGGGTCAATATCTCCGTGTTCCTCACTGATTTAAAACATTACAGGCTGTATACATTTTTTAGTGCCTTCTTGGCACTGAACTCCTCCCAGGCCACAATCCAGGATTACACTCAGTATCACTTTCTGTCGCTGTATGGTTCTCTGCCTTTCAGCTATCTTTCCCTTGCAGGGTTAACCTACTTGTCAAGAAGGAAAAAAAATATGATACCATTCAGATAATGCATACAGCTAACTTTAAAACATGCAAAGGCTGAAAATGTAGTTGAATTTATATACCTGGGCTTTCTAGATGGGGG